CTCAGAGGAATTGCATATTTGGCGACCTCAATCATCTAGAAACGAGGGGTACTACCTTTTCGATGAAGGCCCTAATCTCACAAATTCATCATTATCATCATAAGAGCTCCAACTATTTGATGCTGGTATAAATTTATCTATCTAAATTTAAAGAGTGAAGTTTGTACAAGGCACCCTCCTTATACAGGAAAAATAATGCACACCTCTAAATTTTGTCTAGAGAGGTAGTTTCCGTATCATGAACCCTAAGATGGCTTCAAAAATTATTTTCATCCCTAGTTATGGACAAGAAATACTATTTTTTGTATTTAAAATTCTTCTTTTATTCATATCCATACATTTTGAGGTCGAGATAATCAGAATGGAGGATTTTTCAATATCAGAAAAACTCTTTTAGAGGACTTTCTAGGTGTATCTTACTTCAATAGTATAAAGTTAACACCTCATAAAAACTTTTTCTAAATTTAAATACAGTAAACCGCTTGTTAGTAAGAACCGTCTGATCCACATGAAATGGACAGTTGGGATTGTTTATGTCATGATACCATGCTAAGATATTATTTGATTTTTATTTTTTAAAAAATATTTTTGGTATAAATTATAGAGTCCCCTCTTCATATAGGAAAACGCACATAGAAAAAAAATTATGATGAAAATAAATGATTAAAAACCTCCTTCAAGTTTCAAGTATATTCGAATTTTCCATAACCACAAATATTTCATTTAGTATTTTTCTCATGCGCACCCTTATGAGATGTGTGCACACCCTAAATTTTACATCGAAATAATTTTATTCAATAAAAACTAAAACTAGAACACTCTAAATTGTTAGATCAAGCACTCATGCTCAAGAGCCAAATTGTGACATTGTGACTCGAGCCATCGCAACTATCTACTCAGATCAGATAATTGTCTACTCAGTAAAAAATAAAATATTTTTTATTTTTCAAAATACCCCTCGATCCGAGGTTTTTTATTAGCAGGGTAGTGCCCTATGCTTTAGGGGTAATGGCCAGGCGGTCAGAAATTAGGATCTTCGAACCGCCCTGCGAACACAATAAAAACCAGCAGAGAAGTCTGAGGTCCCCATCCTCATAGGAATATTTTTTTCAAAAAATAAAAAATAAAGTGTAGAATGATGATGGGGACCTTGGATTACCTTAAAATTGAGTATTGTTCAGTCCAAATAGCGGTCTCAGGTCCCATCCTCAAATATAAATAATAAAACACAGTCCGAAGATGAAGGCTTTGCACCACTGTTTTTCTAAAAAAAACAAAAAGAAATTATTGATGCCTTACTTCTCAAGGGAAATAACAAATGCAACTTGCATCCCTTAGTGGCAATTGCCTCTCTCTATCTCTCATTATCTGAACATGCAGCTGCTGAAAAATTTTCTCGTACCTTTCCTATCAAAACAATTTCCCTCTGGTGTTCTCCCTCGGCGTCCGAAGTCACCAACTTAGGACCGCTTTATTTTTGTTGAGAAAATAACCGTTTGGGGATGGGACCTCGAACCGCTTTCTAGGTAAGCAAACTTAATTTTAGAGCAGTTCGAGTTCTCCATCCTCGAACCGTGCTTTATTTCTTATTTTTTGAAAAAAACAATGGTTTGTGTATGGGTCCTCGGACCGCTCTATTGGAGTTTTGTTGTGTTTGCAACGCGATATGAGGATTCTATCCTTAGACCGCTTGGGCATTGCACCTAATGCTAGGGCCATTACCCTACTAACAAAAATCATAAAACAAAATTAAAAATAAAAAGTGGTCCGAGGATGGACTGTAGGGCAATTTTGAAAAAAATAAAAAAAGTGGGTTGATGTGCATAATTTACTAGTGATTAACATACGGAACCTAATTGTTTCTTAATATACGAAATGCTCTATTTTTGTGCAGAGATTACAAAGAAGGTCGATCAACCTGCCTTTTTATTTTTTTCAAAATTGCCCTTCAATTTGAGGATGGAATCCTCGATCTGAATTTTAATTATTTTTTTAGTTTTTTCTTTAGTAGGACAGTGCCTCAAACGTTAGGTTAATGCCCTAGTAATGAAAAAAAAAAAGAAAAAAAAAAGAGAACTAAAATTCTATCTGAGGATGTCCTTTGATTGAAGACCAATTTTAGGAAAAAAATAAAAAAAGGTGGTTGAACGACTTTTTTTTGTAATTTCCATCTATAAATGGAGCATTTCGTATTTTAGAAAAAAATTTAGGGTCCGTATTTAAATCACTCAAGTATTATGGATACTAAAAAGAAAAATTGTTTCATGCGAGCTAGATTGCATCTCTACATATACAATCATGAGGTATAAAGCATTCATCTTAAAGATGGATGCAAATAGGTTCCGTCTAAAAACAGTTGAAACTAACAGTCCAAATGTTTTTTAATTGAATTATTATTTTTTATTTTTAAAATTTATTTATTTTTCATATTCATGATCTCCATGTTAGAGATTACATGACCTTAAAAATTAAGTCCAAAAGTCCATCTCAAATATTTTTTTAGTAGAATTATTATTTCTATTTTTTAAAATTTATTTATTTTTTCATATTCATGATCTCCATGTTAAAAATTAAACAAAAAAATCCATTTCACAAGTAGATTTATTAATGGGCCTGCAATTCTACCAATGCACGCTTGGCCGCATAGCAACCGGGTCCAAGAACAAATGTAGCAAACAATATCAAGGAATCAATAATACAAGTAATAGACACACACAAGCAGGCATAAGCCATGCAGTTATTCCATGCACGTTTAAAAAATCATTCTCAAGGCTTAGGCGGGGCGAGTCCAGCCTTGAGTTTCTGGATAGTTGCAACATCAGTCTTCAAAGACTTGGCCAAGACATCGTCACTAATCCCACTGGTGAAGAGAGTAGTCGGAACGGACACCGTTCCTGCACTGGCACTCCCAAATGCCGACAAAGCCATGGCCGGATATTGAGCATTGGAGTTATACTGGTAGTGAACCAAGCCTTTCGGGAACACAAACATGTCTCCAGTTTGAAGGGTTTGAGCATAAAGCTTGCCAGTAGTGTCCACCACCCCTACCTCCAAAGAGCCTTGTACCAGGAACAGGAGCTCTGCGGAGCGTGGGTGGGTGTGTGGTGGGTTCACGCCACCAGAAGGGAATTGCAGTACAGCGTACGACACACTTTGGCCATCCAAAGCTGGGAACTCGGCTTTAGTAGCTTTTGTCACCTTGAAATTGGGCGGTGGGTTGGATCCTACAACAACTCGCATGCCTGTAAACGTGAAGAAGTTGCCTTCTGGATTAGTGATGTTGGCAGGGAGGATGAAGTCTGAGAGAATGTCCGGGTCACCTGCATTAGTGGACATGAGCACCATGGCCCATGAAATCACCATGCATAGCCCATAAACAATGGTGGAAGCCATTGGTAATGAATATTTAGGTCAATGCAGCAAAAGTTGAATGTTTGTGGTTGTGTTTGAGTTTGTGGAAATGGTATGGGGTATTTATATGTATGTGTAAGGAGTGAGGAAAGTGGAAAGCAAGAGGTTTTAGTTGTGAGGGCTGGCCGGCTTATGCGTTGAAAATCACAAAGCCCAGGCTGGCTTTATTTGTAAAGTTTGGGGCCTTAGGTGAAAACAATGTTAGTAGCTTAAGGAGGTGGGCTTGCTTTGTTTTATTTTAGGCCGGCATCATTTTGGTGTACAACTGTTTCCAATGCTTATTGGGGATTTTTCTTATTCAGCGATTTGTAATCACCGATCCGGATTGGGTATGGTATCCCATCAATTTTAAATTTTTATAGTTTTTTATGTTTTTTTTTTTTTCTCTAGAGGATTGTCCGATCTTGATTGGATCAGGATCAAGTTGTTGAGTTAGTTACCTGATTGGATTTTTTAAACATTGTTTTTATTATATAATTTTTTTTTTGGACAAAAGTTCCAAAATTTTATTAAAACAACTAGAAGAGAAAGAGAAAGAGGGCAAGGAGACCCTGCCTTTAGCCAACGAATCGGCAAGAGACTTCGCCTCGCAGTACACATGAGAAAAGGAAAGCAAAAGGGAGGCTGAGATGTCCATAATTTCCAGCCAAATAGAGATGCGCCTATCCTTCTTGCACCAACCAATTACATTTAAGGAGTTACCTTCAACTAAACAATTCCAACCAAGGTTTCTAGAGATAAAGTATTTCAAACCTTGTAGCAGCGAAGCAAGTTTCACATGATTCGCGGTAGCATGGACTAGAGGATCAGCATAAGAGAAGATGATCTCTCCTCGGCTATTGCGCAAAACCCCTCCAATCCCTGCCAAACCAGGATTACCTAACGAGCAGCTATCAAAATTCAACTTTAGATGCCCCTCCTCCAGGGGCGACCAAAAGCGACAAGGTCTCATTTGAACTTTACCCAAAAGGAAGAGATTGGGTAGATTAAGAATTACATCTGGGAGAGAAAGACGCCACTCTACCTTGGTGACCGAAAGCCAATGCCATAAAGAGAGCTTAATGTTATCAATCAAGCATCGTGCATCCGAAAGATTCACCCTTCAAAAGTATGCCTATTTCTTTCTTTCCAAATTTCCCAAAAGACCACCCCTCTAGCAACTTGCCACACATTTCAGCCACCAGTAGGTAAATGAGGAAAGTCCAAATGAGAGACAATATCCACAACCGACAAAGGGAGGGAAGCTTGGATCCCCATTAAACCAAAAAACCAACACTAGATATTAGAGGCAACCTTGCAATGAATAAAAAGATGATTACCCGTTTCCGCATCCAGTTTGCACATAAGAGAAATATTTGGTAAAACCTTACCTCTCTTTATCAAATTGTCAACAGTCAGAGTCTTATTCTGGATGGCAAGCCAAATGAAGACCTGCACCTTATGAGGGATTGGCCATTTCCAGACCTTGAGTGCAATAGGTAGTGACCACCGTAATCTATCATGAAAGAGTAATATATAACAAGACTTAACCGAGAAGAGACCATCTCATTCAAGTTCCTAGATGAGATCATCCGGGTAATCAGGGGAGATATAAACCTGGTCTAAAAGGCTCAACAACTGCAGCCACTGGTTATAACCCTCACCACTAATACGATTGTAAGGGCAGGTAATATTCCAAGTTACATTAGGGCCTGCATAGTCCGACACCTCTGCAACCAAGGCATTCAGATGGAGAACCTTAGTAAAGAGAAGAGGGAAACTCAACTTCAAAGGAACATCCCCAAACCACTTGTGGTGCCAGAACGAGGTTTGAACACCATTCCCCACATTTCATTGAAAGTGGCTAGCAATCATCGGTCAGCACCTATATATGGGCTTTCACAAGAAAGAGGCTTCATCAAGACGGTCACCTTCAATCCACATACCAAACCTGTTTCTTCCATATTTAGAAATAAGGACCTCAACCCAAAGATGGTTAGGACATTGGAAGATCCTCCACCACCATTTACAGAGAAGTGCCTCGTTCATGTATTTAAGTTTGTGGGTACCCAAACCACCTTCACCCTCTGGGGTACATACCCAATCCCATCTAAGCAGATGGAATTTGCGGTCCTCACCATATGAGCCCCACAAGAAGTTGCGCATCATCATTTCAATTTTCTTAATGATAGATGCTGGCATGTGGAGAAGTGACATTAGGTAAATCAACAAGTTTGATAAACAAGATTGCAATAAGGTCACTCTGCCACCCAGAGAGAGATACTTGGGCTTCCATAGGTCCAGTTTGACTTGAACTTTTTCAAGGACTTTGTCCAAAACTGAAGTAGAGTGTCTAGAGAGGGAGATACAAATGCCCAAGTAATAGAAAGGAAAGAAGCCAACTGCACAGCCAAGCCGGGCAGCCAATGCAATGAACAAAGGTGGGTGACAATTAATTCCAAAAAGAAGATTCTTGCTATAATTGACATTAATACCCAAAGCTGCCTCTCAACAATCCAAAAATGGGCAATATTAGAAACTTGAACCTCCGAAGCCTCACAAAAAAATGAGGGTATCATCAGTGTAATATAAATGAGAACAAGTGGGCCAAAATCAGCTACTTTAAAACCTTTAAATCTATCACAATTCTCCACATTCTAGAGCATTTAGGCATAGATAAAGGAAAGGCGGACAAGGGATTCCCTTGGAGAAGGCCCCTAGTAGCCTTACAGAAACCAGCTGGAGAACCTTTAACAAGGATTGAGACATGGGCTGATAAAAGGAAAACAAAAATCTAACTCCTCCATTTTTCCCCAAAGCCCATATTATTTCTAAGAATCTCTAAGACAACTCTCCATTCAACCTGATCGTAGGCCTTCTCAAGGTCAAGTTTAATAACCACCCTAGGAACTTCGCTACGCACTCTAGAATGTATACATTCTTGAGCTACTAGAATGCTATCAGTAATCTGGTGGTTTTGAATAAAGGCGGATTGATTGGGCGAGAAGAGAGATGGAAGGACAAACTTTAGCCTCTCTGCCAGGACCTTAGCCACTATCTTGTAAAGACTCGACAACAGACTTATAGGCATGATATTAGAGAACTCCTCAATGATAGACTTTTTAGGGATCAGAGTAATATAAGTGGCATTAACCTCTTTAAAAATTCACCTCTAAGCATAAAGGCTCTGACCATCTGGAAAAGGTCCAGTGTAGTAAGATTCCAAAATCTTTGGAAGAAAACAAGAGGGAAACCATCAGGACATGGGTCTTTGTCACCTGGAAGGGAAAAAGCCACCCTCTTAAGTTCTTCCATCGAAATATCTCCCTCCAAGAAAGCACTTGAAGCAGTCGATAGAGCTCTAAAAGGCACTCTAAACAAGATGGGGTAAATTTAACTTCCGAAGAGAACACCTTCTTAAAGTGGATAACAATAGCCTCCACCAAATAAAATTGTTTTCCGCCTCCACACCTAGGATAGAGAGGTCAGAGATATCGTTTTGCTTTCTTCTCGTACTTAGGATTGAATGAAAGAATTTGGTATTCCAATCACCCTCCTTAAGCCAATTAATCCTAGGCTATTGCTTCCAATATAATTCCTCGATTCTACGGAGGCTGAGAAGGTCTTTTAACTTAGATTTTCTAGCCTCCCAGAGCTCAATAGTCAAAGCCCCATACACCTGAACCTGGTGGTCCAAAAAGGCAATCTCCTCTAAGAGATCATCAATCTTAGCTTTGACATTCCCACGATGTTTCCTTTTCCAAGCAATAATCTTGTGTTTGATACTGATGAGTTTATTATGCAGCTGAAAGTCTAAGGAGACGATCGATAAAGAATTCTGCCAGGTGTAATTAATGAGATCAACGACAGAGCCATCTTCCAACCACCCCAATTCCAATCTAAAAGGTCTGGGGCCCCACTTTTCTGGTTAGTAGAAAGTAACAAAGGAGTATGATCTGAAGAAAGGTGAGGGAGGGCTTTGACCAAGACCAAAGGAAAAGCCTCTGCCCATTTCGAAGACACTAAAAGTCTATTCAACTTAAACATAGACATAGATGAAACATAATTATTTGACTAAGTAAACTTGGTCCCAACAGTTGGTAAATCCATAAGAGAGAGGCTTTCAATAAAGTTGTTAAAAAGCCTCATTGACGAATTAATAGGCAATCGTGTAGAGAATTCATCTCGCCATCTAACGAGGTTGAAATCCCCACCAATACACACAAGAAAATTGAAATTACGAACAACAGATTCCATATCATTAACAAAAACCTCCATGGAGGCAACATCAGTACCACAAAAATTTAGTAAACCCCACGAGAAACCAGGGATAGGGCCATAAAACCCAAGAAACAAAAACCTATCTCTAACGATAGTCACAAAATGCTGTAGAACCAAAGGGCTCCATAGACCACTCGAAGCCCCCACTGCATCTATGCCACAAACAGAAACCGCACTGAAACCCCAAACTTGTTTAGCATCAGAAACAGTAAGGCTAGGAAGTTTGGTTTCTTGCAGAATTAACAACCAAGGTTTAAATTTAGAAACCAAAAATTAAACATCCTTTTTACGAGTGGGGTTACCCAAAACCCTTACATTCCATGATAAGATATTCATTTCAAGGAGGGGTGGAAGATGAACGTTGCGCTTCCCAGGTTGCACCTGGGCTGGGATAATCCATAGACTGCATATCTCCCACTTTAGTAGAGCCAAGGTCCTTTAAGGAAGAAAGCTCTGAAAGATCAATGATTGTCAGTATCGAGTGCTGGAACTGTGATGACAAAGCAGTCTTCTTAACAACTCCTCGGGCTTCCAGGCGGGCTGATGACCTGGTGCCAACATGACCCCGATTTTCTTCTTCTTGGTAGGAATATTTGTTTCTTTAGCAGCACCACCTCTAGTAACAGATTCAACAGTTTTCCCAGGCTCCTGTGCAAGCCTTTCTTTTTTGAGATGCTTAACCTCCTCGTAGAAAATCCCTATCGAGATATTAAACTCAAACCCCATATCTGAGACCATAGCAGCAACTTCAACTTCGTCA